GCAACAAGAGAGAGAGAGAGAGAGAGAGAGAGAGAGAGAGAGAGAGAGAGAGAACAGTTTTACCAGGGCAGTTTTAGAGATACAGGTTGCAAAGAGAAAATAATACTTTTTTAAAAAAGAAAAACGGTGAGTTTTGGGTTGGATTACGTGTTAGATGTTGGGAAATTGCTCATTTTCTTGGATGTGACAATGGAGTTGTGTGTTAAGTTAGCAGATGTCTTCTGTTCTTGGGAGAAACACACCATAGCACTGGGGAATAAAGTAACATGGTATGTGCAGGTCTCAGCCAAGACAAAGCTCCCATCTGCCTTCTCGCTGGCCCAAATATGCTCACCCACAATGTCCATCCTCCCATGAGGCTGGGAATACTGGGAGCTGCACTCCCATAGACAGCCACCAAGGCAATGGGATACTAATGATTTTAATTAGTTGTGCTTCGAGAAAACTAATTTATGAAATTAATTCTCTCCAAACTTGCTTGACCACAGAATTTTACTTTCAATGAACATTTTAAATAGCACCTGGAACTAATTTCAAGAAAACCAATCTAAAACGACTTCCTGCACAGTAGTTAGAGATACTAGCAAAACTTCTGTGTTTATAGACTGCTTAGATTAACTCCAATTTTGTCCTCAAAATGTTTTATCATTGTTTAGTTAAGATAAAAAGAAGAAAATTTGAAAGGGCTTTTAAAATTATTGTTTACTTTTTTCCCCTTATGGGAAAATTCTTGATTTTTTTTATTATATAAAAAGCTGATCATGATACAGAGGGTTTTGTACCCTTCTTGATTAATTTAATAGCATCATAATCATACCGTTACCACTACACTTTTCAATCATGTTGCTTTTAACATGTATAATGTTCTCATGGTACAACAAAACTATGACTTATTTAGTCTTCATTCAGATTATTGAACAAATTTCAATCTATCCAAGTTTATGATATAAATTATGAAATAAATAGCAGATGTACAAATACTAGACTATTATCTCTTCAGAAGATTGACTCTATGAAACAACTGAGCACAAGCCTCTTGCTTGATCCTTTCTTATGTGCCTTCCAGAAGTCAGGACACCCTCATCAGCAGTCTGTAGAAACCATGACACACCCACCATTAAACTAGGTGAGCTTTAGAAGCATAATTCTGCTAATACACAGCACATTAGTATCTGATGCACATTGTTTTCTTATTTATATGTCCAAATTGTTTTCTTTTTTATTAGTATGGATCAGTGTTAATTCCTGTTATATGAGTTCTTCACGTTACTGACATTCCCTGTCAAATGTTTTATGTGAATATCCACTGTTCTTTTCTATTTTTTCATTGCTTCTCTCTTTAGAAAAGATGGCATCTAAAAAATAACAACCATTTACCTATATTACTGTTTATACTTTCTTTTATAAACACTTAATTTTTATATTTCATTCAATTAGTTTAGATATGAGAATACTGTGTGTTCAGGCTCAAACCTGAAAATTCCTCCCAAGCAACTTCATTCTCAATGTGCAGTCTTCTAACAATGTATTTATTTCTCTGGTATGGTGGTTCTGGAATGTGCTCACTGGAACAGAATGCCAAGCAAGGTCATGGGGGTCTTGGATCTAAATGGACCATCTGAAGGAACAATGTCAAATGCCAGGTGCTGCTGTGATTTTCTGTGAATGGATAGAGGAACGGGCTTTCAGATCAGAAAATACACTTGTGGGTGACGAGGGAAGTGGGGAACATCTGACTTTGTGGAAAGGTCAGCAGTGAGCTGATGAAACCGAAGGGGCAGGGAGAATACCCACTCAGTCTCATGCTGTGAGGCACACTGTGAAAGCTTGTGCTCACAAGTGTAGGGCAGAGTCACCTAAACCACGTGATCCATCTACACAGAGGCAGGAAAAGAAATGCTTGGTCTCAAAATAATCCGTCTTCTCACCAGGCCAGCCTTAATAGTGTCAAAAGGCAACAACACACTTTTGAAAATAAAATTATGTTATTTTCTCTGAAATGTTTTACAAATGAGATGATGAATCATAAGAAAATATACTTAAAAAGAGAGACAGAAGGAAAATGAGTTATTTCACTGGCTGTCCAGCGTAGCACTCTTCCCAAGTTGCTTTCACAGCTGTTTTTTTAGACAACTGGATGAAACCTGGTCAGTTATGGTGGTACCTGCCTTTGATGGAGAAGGATCAGGAGTTTTAGGTCATCCTTGGCTACACAGTGAGCTCAAGGCCATCCGGGGCTGTGTGTGAGATCCTGCCTCAAGATCAAGATCAAGGCTTACTAGTTAAGAGCACTGGCTACTCTTACAGAGGACCCGGTTTGAGTCCAGGTGGCTCACAATCACCTACTATACCTCCAGTCCCAGGGAATCCAAAACCTCCTGACCTCAGTGAACACTGCATGCATGTGGCACATAGACACACATGCAAGCAAACCACCAATATGCATGAAAACAAATGAAATCTTTAAAAATACACAACTCAATGTATGGCACCTCTAAGGATGTATGTATCTGATTTTCTGACCGTTACTAAATACATATTTTTATTTATTTTCTGTTAAATACTATTTATGTTTATATTAGCTTAACAGCTAACAGAGATTTAAAAACAAAACATTCTCAAAGGCTGACTCTGACTTCCTTTTCTGCGCCACAAAATGCAAAAGCTTTCCTCTGCAGTTACATTCAAGTCTCTAAAACCATTCTGAAATGGTAGACGCATCTTATGATGCTTCCAGCTAAAGATTCTCCTACACCTATAGTTCTCAACTAGTGGGTCTTGACCCCTTGTGGAAGGGTGTCAAATGATCCTTTCACAGGGGTAGCCTAAGACCATAGGAAAACATAGATATTTACATTATAACTCATAACTAACAATATTACAGTTTTGAAGCAGCAATAAAAATAATTTAATGGTGGGTGGGAGGGGTCACCATACCATGAGGAACTGCATTAAAGGGTTGCAGCAATAGGCAGGTTGAGAACCACTGCTCTACACACTTGTCTCTGAGAGATAGCAGAAGGCAATTACTGAAGGAAGCTGCTCTCTTTTTGAGAAATGTCTGCTATATAGTTTGGATCTGACATCAGTTACTGTGTGGAAGGCTTTGTCCTCAGCTGGATGAGTCCTGAACTGAGTGAGCTATTGGGAGGTGGGATCTTGCTAGGTGAAACAGGTCACCAAGAGTCTATTTCTGAAGGGTCTGTCTTGCTCTTGGCCTCTTCTTATCTGTTGTTCTCTGCTTCCAAGCAGCCAAGGGATGAGCAGCCTGACACAAGCTCCCAGCATGATGCTCTGCATAACTCCAGGCTCACACACATGCAATCCTACCACCACCTGCACTGGTGTCAGTTCTGTTCTCAGGGCTGTGATCAAACACCTGACAACTGGAGGGAGGACGTGCCTATTCCAACTTACAGTTGAGGAGATACAGCCCCAGGCAGGGAAAGGATAGCAGGATGATGAAGTGGCTGGGCACACTGTGTTCAATGTCAGGAAAGAGAAATATATAAACACTGGGGTTCAACCTGCTTCTTGTTTACTCAGTCCAGGAACCTAGTTCATGGGATATTTAAACCTTCACAGACATGAAGGTACCATTAAGATTTAAAATCTACTTGGGTTGATCACTGAGATCAACTACCACAGTACCATTTCACTGGAGGCTATTTAACTGCAGGGCTCCTGGCCCAGCTTCTCAGTATTCTTCCCTCCTCTTGATGCTCAGTTCAAAAGCAAGGGCTGACTTGGACATACACCTTACTTCTCTGTTCACAACAACACTCAGTACAGCTCTCTAGAATTTCTTTGACACATTTCTGTAAATTCTACAATTTCTGAAGCCCCAATGTTTCTGTGTCTGTGAAGGTCTAAGAACATTCCCCATTCCACTCGCACCTAGTGAGCCACTCCTGGATACTTGAAATTACGGTTACTTGTGCTGCGCAGTACTTAGTATAAATACATTTTGTAAGATATTGTGATGCTTTTGAAAGCAGACCCCTGATGGAACACTGACTCCTGGAGGAGGTGATATCAACTATGTATAGACACAACCAGAGACAGGGACGTCTTCCAGGGTGACTCCCATCTTCTACCTTATGTTCATTCTGTACCTGGACAGTGAATTATACTTATGTGATGTATAACAAGGTCTGTGCAAATGCTGCTTCTTGGTAACTTACGCCAGGACGATAATTAAAATATCTATATCCAACTTCATATGCCAAACCCAGAGCAAAGAAAGCAAAATAAGAATACTGATTCTTCGGCTGGTGAGATGGCTCAGCAGTTATGAGGACTGACTGATCTTCCAGAGGTCATGAGTTCAAATCCTAGCAACCACAGGGTAGCTCCCAACCATCCCTAATGCGATCTAATGCCTTCATGTGAGGGAGGGGAGTGAGTAGGGGACCCAGAGCAAGCGGGCTGGAGCAAGAGGGAGAAGGGAAGGGGAGCGGGGGGAAGAATACTGATTATTAGATAATAATTTGTAAAAAAAAAAAAAAATCTTCCAGAAAGTGTGTTAAGACTACAAAACCATAGGCTTTGTCCCTGGAGGCTGATTCAGTAGGATCTGAACTTGAGTTCCTTTGATTCCAAGGGAAGTCTGTGTGGAGGTTCACAGCCAAGACTTTAATACATGGTGATACAATGCCTACTTTACGGACATGAACCCCCAAGTTAACTTTTCTCGTGTACTTAAGAAGCTTGTTTGTTTGCTTTGTTTTTTAAAGTTTCCTGGCTTTAATGTGAAGGCATAAAACACAGTGGGCCTATAAAAAGAACAGTTAGCAGTGTATCCAGTCTGGCACCTTGGGAGCTTAGGCTGTGGGACGACAGCATCACATCCCCTTCTTTGAGATCACAATCTGCAGAGTTTTCACTTATATTCCCTTTTTATAAAGCATTCAAGGCTTAATTTGCCACAAATAGTCCTTCTTCAGACCATCTTGCCACGAGGCTGGTTTTAAAATAACTGAAAGGTACAAGGCTCTTACCTCGGTCCCAGATGCTGGCTCTTAATGCTCGTTCCAGCTGCTCCTCCTCGCTCAGGCCTGCTGTGTAGACATCGTAGTTCCTGTAACTTGTTTCATAGATCACTGGTCTGCCATCTGCATAGTGATTCTGATATCCAGAGGGGCCTGTGGGCATAATCAAAAGGTTATAGCCCCAGTAATAGACTTGTCTTTTGCTTCAGAATTCTGGCTTTGTAAATGCAAAGACAGGCCCACAATTCATGTCACTATTTTGAGTGTAATAATAATCTTCTAATCTAGAGAAGATGGCACATAGAGAAATCTCCCACAAGAGTGGGCAATTATGATCCTGTCACTTTACAGCCATAGTGTCCAACATGGGCCTGGACATTAATAAGATCTTCTAATGAGGGAAAGAGACAATAACTTAGAAGGTAGCTAGAAGTGTTGGAGAAGAGACTGGAATGGGCTTTGTAGAGTACGCTTATCACCTTTGAGCTGCTGACCACTGGAGTATTTCCCATGAAGTCCTGACTTGAGTGGGGACAGGGTTGGGAAGCAGCTGAGAATACTATACTGTTCTGTGAGTCCATCCAAAGGAGACAACGATTGCTTCGTGCATATACCAGAGTGCAGATGCTGGGTACTCTACTTCAACAACTAATAACAAGACTGAGACGGATGAGCCAATTGCTCTGACTATAGCAGACACTATACTTCCAATTAATATCGCTTTCAGAAAAAATTGGTTACTCAACAGAACAAGAGCTAACATGGTCATTAAATAATGCTTTACACACTAAACAGACAGCAATTAATAAAAGACAGCAGAGAAACACAGAGTGCTTTTACAAAAATAATTCCATCCCATTTGTGTCAGTTTTGAGTCTAGTCCTTTGTGTCTTCATTGTCAATGGTTACAGAATTAGTTTGAAGAGATTTTTGCTTATAGAGAACAGTCTGGCATAATGAGAGACACTATCTTCTGTTCCTTGCACCCTCGATCCTGTCATTATCATCGTCTTTGATCGGGATGTTTCTTGTCGTAATTAACGTAGTTGGTTGTTGATGAAAATCCATAAGCTACAGTATCATATGTCCCCATGGCATCCTATGCAGAACATGCCTGAGTGTTCTAAGTTTAGTAAGACTACAGAAAAGCACACAACTTGGCTGAGTGAAATTTTACATTCAGAAATTTGGAACAAGTTATTTTGAAATTTATTTTTGAACTTATTATAAAAATTCTTTGATGATATATGACTTTCTAGACAAAAATTTAATTTAGTTTTTAATTATGATACAAAGGCTTCATTATAGCATATTTATACATACTTAGTTTTAGTTGACCCTTGCCTTCATTAACCCCCCCCATCTCCTTGCCCTCGACATCTAGGACTGAAAGGGAAATTTTCATAACTAGCAAAACTCAAATGACCCGACACTCCTCAGCACTCCCCCGTCCAGACACTGCATGTACCTGCAGATTCCTGCAACCCAGCAATGCTTTAATAAAATAAAGCTGACAGCTCTGGTCATATGAACACTATAAAATCCTAACTTGATACTTGAAAGACAAAAGCTGGGGACAAAGGAGGAAGAAAACCTCGGTGCTTTAAGTGCGAAGGACTGGTGTGCTAACGGTGCTGTATTGTCAATCATAAATCACAGGCAAGACCAAAAATGACATATCTAATATGATAATGGGTCCCTGAGAAACAACATGTTTCAATAACTGTTCTAATAGCCCAATCAGATGTATTAAAGTCTTTATAATAATCAACGACAGAGGAATCTAACAACCAGTGCTTAGGATAGATAAGTTTAAATTATATCTTGTAATAAATGCTTTTTAAGTTATATACTTTGGCCCTGTAATAAAACAAAACAAAACAAAAATGCCAAAAGCTTTTCTGGCTATCATTATTTTGTTAACTGTTCCATTTGGTCCTTATACACATTCCACGATTTCATACCAAAGAGACCAAGGAAAATGACACAGATTAGAAAAATTGGTAACAGCTTTAAAAACATTTGTTAGTTTCTTTGGCCTCTAAGGAGTTTCCCAGATGAAGGTGGCCATGCTAAGAATGAATCACTACTTCCAAGAGATATTTTTTGCTTAGCATCAAAGTTGCTTAGATGACCATTTGCCTGGCCACCTGGGCCTCTGTAGTGCTGTCTGTGAAGACATCCAATCACTCCACAGGAAGGAATGTAAGTATGGTAATATCACAGAACAACAAAAAGGAAGGCTAAAAAAAAAAAAAAAAGACCTTGGATTTCGGCCTTGAATTCTTCAGTCTGTGCCAATGTCTCTCACAGAGAAAGGGAGAAGGGGGCAATGGAGGGGTTTCCTTCTCTGTCTTCAAAAATGTAAGTAAATGTGGCAAGGAGGGAGGGGTGAGAGGAGAGGAGGGAGGAGGGGAAGGGAGGGGAGGGGAGGAGAGGAAGTTAATTTATTTCCTAAACTTCAATTGTCTAAGTACATGCAGACTTCACGTCCCCACACAACAGTCAAGCAGGGCAATGAATCACAGACTTGCATCCTGTCCTAGCCTTTCCCTTAGCTACCTATATAAATGATGTGACCAAATTATCCAGTCATCTTAAGCTCTGTCTTCCAGCTGTCAGGCAAGATGTCCGGGCCAGGAAGTCCACAGCAAGCCACGTCTGTGCACACCTGTGGTTGGTAGTGCTAGCTCCTTCGCCCAGAAAAAGGTTGCTGGTATATGTGCACACATAATCAACTGTGTGTGTATGTGAGGGCCAGCAGAAAAATTCGGTGCCATTCCTCTTCTAAGTGCAGTGTTTTAGACACAGTGCCTCAGTGTTCTGTGGGCTGGCTAGGCTAGGCTGGCTGGTCAAAAAGGCCCTAGGATTTAATAGTTTGTGACTCCTTGGGATTTACAGGTATATACCACTGTGCATGTGTGTGTGTATGTGTGTGTGTTTTGGTTTTTGTTTGTTGAGACAAGGTTCCTCTGTGTAACAGCCCTGGCTGTTTTGGAACTCGATTTATAGACCAGGCTGGCCTTGAACTCAGAGATCTGCCTGTCCCTGTGTCCCAAGTGCTGGGGTTAAAGGCGAGCACCACCACTGCTTGCCTCTGCTATTACTTTTAAAAGCTGGGTTCTGGGGATCAAACTAGGGTCCTTATGCTTATGCAGTAAGAACTTCACTGACAGTTCTCTCCCCAGACTCTACTGTTATTTCTTGTGGAGATTTACTAAAGTGAACCAGAAGAGAAACCCCCTTTCCTCTAGTAACATCAAGCTGTTAGCTTTCTTGACCTAAGCCTCCTGGAGGGTTTAAATCAACAAGAGGCACCACAATGGGAGGTAGAACTGGGGTGGTTTTCCTGACTAGCTCTGCTCCTCCTGGTTACATAGGCCAGGTAACACTTCTGTTCTCTATTACTCATTGCAAACTGGTGTCTACAAAGGAAAGAACGTGCTCTTCCAGGGACTATAGTTGTTACCTCTGTCCATAATGGCTGTTTAATCACGCCATCTCAGTTCAGCTGATAACCACTTTATCCAGACCAAGCAGAGGTAGAAGCCTCAGACACAAACCATTGCCTTGAGGCAGAGACGGAAGTCTATGGCTTTCAAGTCTAAGGCCACAATCATTAAAGCCACAGCTTTTACTCCTAATCTTATCAGCTGAGTAGTTTGTGTGTGTGTGTGTGTGTGTGTGTGTGTGTGTGTGTGTGTGTGTGT